TCTATAACATGGAGATAATAATCTATTTTATCTATCTTTAAAAATTCTCTATTTTTAAAATATTTATTTTTTAAAATTCTCAAAACCTGAAAAGCTCAGTTTTCAAGAATCCTCAGAACAAGTCTAGGGAACACCTGTTTCCAGAGTTGGGGAAAAGGGGTTCACAGTGACAATGTGGGAAGCAAATGGAAAGTTCTGGAAAGTGGGAAGTGCTAGGAAGCAAATGAATCAGGATGAAGACATGACAGAGGAGGCCTGACAAAAAGGGGCCGGCTGAGGCCAGGTCAGGGTGGTGAAGAGGAGGCCCCTTGAGAGACAAGAAGGAAAAGAGGCTAAGGGTCTGTGTCACGAATTCCTCCTTCTCCTTGGCTTTGCCTTCTGTGCCCTCGACCTACTCTTCCTGGCCACATCCTGGGTGCAGGGTTCCAAAGATACTGGCCTGACACATAAAATACAGCACAGAATGGAACTGGCCAATGTAAGTCTTACTTTTTTTTTAAATTTAATTTTTTTGTACTTTGTTGTTGTCGTTTTGTTAATCCTCACCTGAGGATATTTTTCCATTGATTTTTAGAGAGAGTGGAAGGGAAGGGGAGAGACAGAGAGGGAAACACCGATATGAGAGAGACACATTGACTGGTTGCCTTCTGCACGCACCCCCACGAGGCCTGGGGATTAAGTCTGCAACCGGAAGCATGTGCTCTTGACTGGAATCAAACCGGGGACCCTTCAGTTTGCGGGACTATGCTCTAGCCACTGGGTCAAACCGGCTAGGGCTGTAAGTCTTACTTCTAACCAGGAATTCCAGGCGTCTCCTTTCAAGGGAACCAAGCCCAGTCCTTGCCTGCTTCTCCGCTGGGGGCTCAGGACTTTGCATTGTTTAGTAGAAACTTCAATTGGGAAAGAAATCAAAGCGAACACAATGGGAACCCTCGTGTACAACATTGGGGAAGAAAGCACTACTTACGAGCTGTTCTTCATGAGTGCTTTTGTGGGTGCTTAATCACACCTCTGTCATTCCACTCTAACACTGGCCCCCTGCGGTTCTATCCACCTACTAACTGAGAAAGCCAAGACGTGGCAGGGTGAAGTGCCTTGCCCAAGGTCACAGAGCTAAAGAAGTCCGTAGAAGGAAATGGCAAGAACCCACGCGGAGTAAATTTGGGGAATAAAGACAAATAGAGAGGAAGAGAACAGTGTAACCACCGCGCCCGAGTCACGAAGCATCGGCCAGCAGGCAGGGGTTAGGACGTGGTGACATGTGATGGCACCTCACAGGCCCTTCCGAGCAGCGGAGCAAAGTGAAGCAGGGCTCCCAGGCGGATCGCCGGCGTCACAGGAACACAGGGGTTTCCAGGGAGATGCTGGAAGCTCAACGCGCTTATTTGTGGCCTTGGCATAAAAACTCCAACACCACAATGTGGACACGTTAAGCCCCAATGCTATCTACAACAAGGGTTTGCCTAAACCGAAAAAGAAACCATAATTCTGAATGCAAGCAGCACCCTGTTTTTCAAGAAGGAAACAGCCAAGAGTTTTTTAGCACACACTCCGATCATTAAAGTGTATAAGAGAGGTTCATTGCTGGCTAGATGGTGAGCGGGCATACACAGCATCGGCTTTATTGGAATCCAGCAAAATGTTTGTTTACCAGCAGCAATCTGCTCACCAGGAAGACATGTTCTTTGTTTTTTCTGGCCTGGACTACACCTCCCTTCTCAAGTGCTTGCATCTGACCCTGGTGCTGGGGCAAACAGGAGTCTTTCTCAGAACACACATGGTGAGTAATGGAACCGTTTGAACTTGAAACTGCACCCAAGCAGTTCACCCACCATCTGTCCATTTCCCTCTAATTCAATCTTACTTCCGCTTGGCCAGGAGCTCCGAACACTTTATCTCAGAATCTGCCATGTCATTCTGTATAAAGAGAAGAGAAAACATGCCCTGCACACATTTTTTCCAGCCCCATTCATTTTCTCAGGGACCACATTCATTGTGTAGAATTCCCTTCCACTTGAACGGTGCGTGGCTGAATCAGATGTGCCCGTAACAAGAGGGCCCCTTCATTTCTGCCGCCGAAGAGAAAGCTGTGTCTCAGCCAGATTCACAAGCAGCGATGAGGCTAAGCAGCTATTTTGCTTTGTTCTTTAAGAAATGTTAATCAATTCCTGCCCAACAACCTGCGTAGAACACCGGGCATTTTATGACTTACCCAAGAGGTCTTTGCTTCTAGAAGCAACATCTCAGGCATTAGCGGTTGAGTAGGAATGACACCTCAAAACGAAGAAGTTCCATTCTTTTTCCCTGAAAACCAGTCTCAGGACAATGAAGGGGCAGCTGAGACTGTGGGCCCTTTATTAAGAAAGGATGCACTTTGTAATTTTATTGAACATAACATCCACACAGGACATCTGTTCCCGTGCCACAGTCATGCGGACCCTTTATGCCCTGACGGCTTGGGAGACAAGGCCCTCCTGTTCCCACACTGCCACCCCTCATGCTTTTTGTATGGCTTGTACTTCATGATGATGCATGACTTCTGCCGGAAATGAGTAGTTACCTAGCAAATGCATACGTTCGCCCTGTAAAAAGAGGGTTTCAGGCGGAAAGATCACCAAGGTCATGGCCGATTCTATTGACAGCTGAAAACAGTTAAGCTGACTTTCACTATCCAAGCAGGGACCAAGATGAAGCAACGTGACTTAAAATTTCGTTCTGGCTCAGAAATCTGAACTTAGTCTAGGCTTTTCCCCATCTTCTCCATCCTCACCCCCAAAATCAGATGGCTCACTGTGTCTTTATGACACTTCACTTCTTACATGTGGGATCCAGGAGGGAGACTGAGAGAACATAAGGATGAAAGCACTTGGTCGAAAGGACCAACAGAAATCCTACCAGGGCACATGTGCACCAGACCCCAAAGCGCTGGCCCCTCCAACCTCTGGCCACATACGGTGGAATCGGGTGGACCTGAGAATTGGGGCCAAGCTTTACTGGAGCCAGTGGAGATGCAGCTCGGGGTTTTTAGGCCTCTTTCTTTATAAATAATTCTCTGGGTCGCTGATAAGTTTAATAAATAAGCAAGAGCAGGAATGATTACATATAGTCAGCCCAGCTTTGTCCATGGTGAGGCTGCAACAAAAACTAACCCGACCTTCCTGGTAATTACAAGAATTGAATGTTTTGACTATATGAATGGTGTCATCATGTAGCTAAAAAAAGAAAAAGGAAGAAAAAAAAATGTGCGCACCCTCTGCCCCAGCAACTTCCAGATTCCAAGTCTACCCAGAGGGACTTTCCTATGAGAATGAGGAGGCATCTCAAAGACATTCATTGAGCCTTGTTTGGAATAGAGGGAGGAAAAAAAAACTTCAAAAAAAAAACCAACACCCCACCATCCTTAAATGCCCATCAAAAGGAGCTGGCTAGTCTGATTTATCCATGTTCTGGAATGCTATGCAGTATTGAAAACAGGAAGTATGACTAAACTTACTAACATAGACATTACATAACAATATGCTACAGGGTAAAGTGTGTCCACCCAAAATTTGTATGTTGAAGTCGTAACCCCCAGGACCTCCGATTCTCTCTATGTTTGGATACAGAACCTTTAAACAGGTAGTTAAGGCCGAGTGAGGTGGGCCCTGGTTCAATATGATTGGTGTCCATATAAGGAGAGGGAAGACCATGTGAAGACACGGGGAGAGCAGCGTCATCTATAAGCCAAGGAGAGAGCCCTCAGAAGACAACAACCCTGCCGACACCTTGATCTTGGACTTCTAGCCTCCAGAACTGTGAGAAAATAAATTTCCATTGTTTAAGACACGCAGTCTGTGGACTTTGTCGCAGCAGCCCTAGCAAACTCATACACTATACTATCTAGAGAACTGAATGAAGGGCCTCTACCCCAGCCTGATAACAGCGGTTACCTGTGGGGAGGGATTGGGATTAAAGATAGTGGTTGAAGGGGAATTTAGCCTTAAATATAAGGTTTTATTTTTTGCAATGAGAAATCACTCATATGTTTTTTGTATATCAATTTAAAAATACCTCTGCCATGGCACAGTATGCAGCAATGCAATGTACTTCACCACCTGATGGAACAATCTCTGGCCCTTAAGAACATGTGCACTGTCACCCCCCACCCCTGCACACCTGTCTGCCTCAGTCAAGTGTCCCATCCCTCTAGGGCAGTGGTTCTCAGTCTTCTGGTCCTTTAAATACAGTTTCTCATGCTGTGACCCCCAACCATAAAATTATTTTCGTTGCTACTTCATAACTGTCATGTTGCTACTGTTATGAATCGTAATGTAAATATCTGATATGCAGGATGGTCTTAGGCGACCCCTGTGAAAGGGTCGTTCGACCGCCAAAGGGGTCGCGACCCACAGGTTGGCAACCCACAGGTTGAGAACCGCTGCTCTAGTGCCTCCATGCCTCTTGGTGTCCCCTCTACTTGGAGCCTCTTCCCCTCCCCCTTTTAAGCCTGGGCTGCTGATTTTCATCCTTCAGAGCTCAGCTCGAATGTCTTGCTTGGCAGGTTTTCTCCAGGCCACTCTGTTCTTTTGATGTCTTCCTCACCTTTGTACTCCCAGTGACTAATCAGTGCCTTCCGCTAAGCAAATGCTCAATAAATGGTTCCAAGTGCACGGATGACGAGGACATTCCCTAGCATCCTGCTTTCCCATCGACTGTGTCCCAAAGGTCCAACATTTCAGTCTGTGGCATTAGCAGACTCCTTAGAGACGAAGACTGTAATCATGTTGTGAGTGAGGTCCTAGCCTTTAGCAGTTTCTATAATACAAGGGGACAGCTATATTTCTGGGCCAGCCAAGTCCCATTTGCTTCCAATTCTGATGAAATCAGCTGAGCATGTATCACAATTTACTTTTTTTAAGTTTTGTGCCTGTAAAGGTCTTCAATTACTTAACCCACAATAGACCCAAATCAAAAAATGCCGGTTGCCCTCGGACTGGAGGCTCTGATAAGCCAGGCCTTACCTCTTCATCGGCTTAGGTGAGCACTCCCTCTCCAGGTTGGAGGACGTGTGTTTCACGTGCATCGCATTGTAGGACGTGTGAGTGTAGTCATTTTCATCACTGTAGTCGGGACCGAGTAATGTCCGGGCCCAAGTTCCCATGTCATAAGGAGGAAGGGTTCCTCCAAATTCAGAGGGCAAAAACTCCGGGTGTATGAGCTGGTGAAGGCTGTTTAAATTGTTCCCGTGCAGGAAAATCTGGAAAGAGAAAGTAATTAGCAATTAAAAACTCCAAAATGTCTGATGGAGTATTTCATCTAATACACAATTGAGCAATGACAAATTGGATGCACTGCTGCTGATCATGGTACTTAAGGAGGCATTCAGTTCTGTGTCTAAACTTTGTCTTCATGAAATGTTCATTTATTGCTCAGAAAAGGGGCTGCATTCACAGTCCTTAAAGAGGAAGTTCATGAACAATCTGGGTAGTATTTGGCCCTGGCCCCAATTTACAGATACAGTGATCTCCTAATGATCCCTGATGCGGAGGAGTGGTGCAGACCACCCCCGCCCAGGCATGCTGCACGTGCACCTCACATTGCTCTCTCCTCTCTCCTGGTGCATTCGCTGCCCTCTGCACCCCCCCTGAGTACTCCCCGTTTCCCCCAGGCCTGCACCAAGTGGCGCTTCTTCCTAAATGTTGGCTATTAAAATATTCCGTGAACAGGAAGCTGCTTGACCCCATACCTCCCACCAGCATTGGCAGGAAAATGGGCATCTGGTATTTGCATGCCTTCAAAATTCCCTTTGGTTTGTCACTGGGACTCTGGAAATAACCCAGTTTCTACTAAATTGTTGATTGAATCCAGGCCATTTGCAAACTCCAGCTGCAGCTCAAATGCTCAGGGACTGTAGAAACGCAGCAAAGCCACGGAGAAAAATTAGGAGAAGGAGAAGGAGAAGGAGAAGGAGGAGGAGGAGGAGGAGGAGGAGGAGGAGGAGGAGGAGGAGGAGGAGGAGAAGGAGAAGGAGAAGGAGAAGGAGAAGGAGAGAGAGAGAGAGAGAGAGGGGGGGGGGGAGGGGCACTGTAATTGTCCCCCCCTCCCCCACACCTCCCCCACATTCCCGGCATTGGGCGCTTCTTGTCATTACCCGCTTCCTGGTCTTGTCTTTAAGGAATGGCTTGATGAGCGTGTACAGGGCATGAATGTACCAGGGCTGGTTGACGAAATGGACTCCTCCGAAGCGGGCAGGAAAGCTGTCCTGGGGCGGAAAGAGAGAAACACACTCAGTGAGCACGCATTCCAGGTTAGCCTGGGCCAGCAGGGCCACAATCCGGAGGACAACCTTGTCTTCTCTCGAAAGCTCTCGCTAATGGTGGGAAAGACAGAAAATACACCCTTCCTATCTGCCGAGGTGTCCTCTGTTCCCCTTGCCCCGACTCCCCAACCTCTTTGACTCCACAACTTAAATATCGTGCGTGGGTGCCAGGCCTGCCTTTCCCAAGTCACAATTATGTGTCCACCCACATAGCAGGAGTGTGTGCAGCTGGTTAGGAGAGAATCAGAATTCTTTGTGGGCTTAAGGAACCAGGGTTTCCGTTCTCAGGAGCCATGAGCACAGATATCCCTCCTCACCCGCATTCTCTGCTCACCTGCTCCAGCCCCCCCCCCCCCCCCCCCCATCACCATGACAATGGCTGTACTTTGTGGGTGAGTGAGGCTCTGTGGCTCTGTAGAAAGGGGTTGGAAAAGAATTTCAAAGGATCTCCGAATCCATGGACACCAAGGGTACCAGCACCTTTTTCACAGATTACAGAATCAGGTCCTCACTTCAGCCTGGGACCCACACACTAGGTCCGAGAGAAAAGATACTTATTGATGGATGGGCTAATGAATTCTTCTTGTGGAGTTCCTCTTTTGCTGCCAATCAATGCATTTTGTAAGTATCCGGAAATACTAAGAGCGTTTTAAAAATGGTTCCAGTTTTGGAATCCAGATCAGGGCACAAGCGTGTGTTTTAGAGGCCGAGAAGCTGCTGTCAGTGCTGATTAGATTCACAGGATAAGGAGCCTTGATCACAAAGTCTGAGCCAGTCCCACAGCACCGGCGGTCCCACTGAAGGGCTTCCCAGATCGCATGGCGTTCATCTTGGTTAATGGAATTTAAAAAGAAGGAACATCTAATGCAATTTGAATTGCCAAGTGTGCTGGCAATCAATTTCAGTGCAACAAATATCTTTGCAAAGGTTAGCGAGATGAGATGAAAGCAGAAGGGGCCTGGCTGTCTGAGCTAAGAGTTCAGGTAGCTAGCTGCTTCCTGCAGGTGTCTGAAATGCCTTGCCTGGGTCATTTTTAATAACATGGAAAGAGGGTTATTAACTTTTTTCTTTTTTTTCCCAGAACACTCTGAGTCTACAGGCTCTCTCAGCATCTTTCACACCAAGACCTAGTTTCCAATAAATACATGCAACTGTGCTTAGGGTTGACATTTGAAAAACTTAAAAGTATTTTTGCCTCTATGTAGACATTTTACATAGAACAAAGAAATTAAATATTTTGAAGGTTACACTAGACAAATTTAAGTAAAGGTCTTTTATTTTGCAATATATTTATTTTTTGTTCTGTTTCTTTTATTTGAAAAAACTCAGTGAAACCACCAAGTAAGGGTAGAGAGATCATTTATACTAATTTGGACATTTGTCATAATCTCTCATTATTCCAAATCTGAATTCAGAAGTAGAAAAGTTCTTAATAAGGTAGTCTTTTCCCTTTTAGGAACAGTTTGGGATCTAAAAATTCTTTGCTTCCAAAATAAAAAAAAAAAAGGCCATCTCCCCAGGTTTTTCCTTGGCAGTAAGTGCTAAGCACTAATCTTACTCTTTTTGGTCCTTTGCAACATGTTATTCAGAAATGCAATCCATTATCTCACACATTAAACATGGGTTCTGAGGGGCTGTAGAATGAGAGGAAAGGGTTTAGCTAAAAAACCAGGGCTTTACTGTATTTTTCTTTTAAATAAGAATTTTATTTCTGCTGAGAGTCTGTTATATTACACATTTCTAGGTTAGTAAAGTGGAAGAAAACTCTATAAGTAATACTTCAGAGGCAAAAGGTAAAATCTCCAAGAACATATTAATCTTTTAAAAATATTTAGAGAGCCTTAGCTTTAGTCTATGGAACCTCCATCATCAAAGCCATCAGAACTGTCTACTATTTGTGTCGGAGGAGGGAGGTTAAAAGACAAAACACAGGCCTGAGACCCTGTCAGTTCTCTCCAGGGTGGCTCTGGCTTCCAGTCTGCCAGCTCGAAGGCCCCATGCGTTTTTACTGATCTCCTTCAGCCAGTGACCATGTGCAGATAAATTCACATAAAATCCTATGCCTCAGACTTCTGGGTTTAGGCCAGGGGAGAAACGGGATGACTTTTCTTCAAGTCTCATCTATAAAATGCAAATGAAGGGCCTCTTGTTCAATAAAGGCAATGTGCAAATATTCTGGGTATTCTCATATGAGCCTGACCCCATATTATTAATAATGATGTGTGTGTGTGTGTGTGTGTGTGTGTGTGTGTGTGTGTGTGTGTGATGCAAAGAGAAAGGTGAAGGAAGGAAAATTAGCAGACACAACCCTCTTCCGGGCAATATCCATTAGTGTTGGTCATGTAGTCTGGTCTTGTTAGCAAACTGCAGGTAAAGGGGAAGTTGTCTGCCACAGAAATGCCCCTCAGGTCCCCAAGAGGGCCCACCACCCTCGGGGAGGTGCAGTTCTTAGGAGCTGGAGCAGATCTAGCTCAAGCCTTAAAAGGAGACATACGTAATACTTTCAATAATAAAGATGTTTTAAAAAGGTGGTAAGCCTTGATTCAATGACAGTGTAACACTTTGTTGGTTTTTGTTCTTAGCAACTGTGTGTCTTACCATGCTTAATTAAAACAAATCACAGGTGACTCATCATATCAACAGGTTAAAGAGGAAAAACACATGATCATCAATTGTTGCAGAAAAGGCATTCGATAAAATTCAACACCCATTCCTGATAAAAACAAACAAATAGGAAAAATAGGTCTCTATTTGCAGATAACATGATTACCAACATAGAAAATCCCAAAGAATGTATTTAAAATAAGCAAACAAAAACCCTCCTATAACTAAATAGTTCATCAACATTGCAGGATAAAAGAGAAACATACAGAGAATCAATCATATTACTATATATTAACAATAAACATAAGACATCAAAATTAAAATATATCACCATTTAAAATTGCTAAAAAAAACTTAAATATTTAAGCATCAATCTAACAAGACATATGCAGGATTTGTATGCTGAAAACTACACAATGCTGAAGAAAGAAATCAAAGAAGATTTCAATAAATGGAGAGGCATATTATATTGTAACTCAGAAGACGACGTACTAAATATGCCAATTCCCCTCAAATTGATAGACAGGTTTAATGCAGTGCCTAGCAAAAGCTAATTAAGACTTTTTTGTAGACATTGATAGGATTCTTTTAAAATTTATATGGAAAACATAGATCCTAGAATAGTTAACACATTTTGAAAAGAAGAATACAGTGGAAGGAATCATTCCGTCCAATTTTAAGACTCTTTATACAACGACACTAATCAAGACTGTGTGGCGTTGGAGGAGGGAAAGATGCATAGGTCAATGAAGCAGAATAGAGAATTCAGAAATAGATCCACACAAATATACCCAACGGGCTTTTTAATACGGTGGGAAGCATTTTGATGGAGGGAGATAGCTTTTCAACAAATAGTGGTGAGACAATTGCTCTTCCACAGGTCAAAAGATGAGCCTGACAACCACACACCTCATGCGAAATTAACTCCAAATGGATCATGAACTTAAATGTAAAACATGAAGCTATAAATGTCTTAGAAAAAAATATAGGAGACAACCTTTAGGAAGTCAGACTAAGCAAAGAGACTTCAGATGTCTCCAAAAGCATAACCTAGAAAATAAAAAAGTAATAAATTAGATGTTGTCAAAATTAAAAACTTTTACCCTATGAAAGAGTGGAAAAGAGAAACTATGACCTGGGTGAAAATATAGCAGATTTTTTCACAATAGCCCAAATTGGAATTAACCTACATATCTTCCATGAGTGAATGGGTAACCAATTTGTACAGTTATACCATGGAATTCCACTCACCACTTAAAAGGAACATTTACTGACATACGCAACCATCTGAATGAACCTCTGGAGAATTTGGCTAAGTGGAAAAATCCAACCCTAGAAGTCTATATGTCTGATTCCATTTACCAGATGACATTCTTGAAATGACAAAATGATAGAAACTACATATTAGTGTTTGCTTGGGATTAAGGAGTGGGTGTGGCTACAAAAGGGTAACATGGGTGATCCCTGTGGTGATTAAAATGCTCTGTATCAATATCAATATACTGGTTGTGATACTGTTCTCTAGATTTGCAAGGTGTTACCAGTGGGGGAAACAAACTAAAGGCTCTATGGCAGTGGTTCTCAACCTTCCGGCCCTTTAAATACAGTTCCTCATGTTGTGACCCAACCATAAAATTATTTTCGTTGCTACTTCATAACTGTAACGTTGCTACTGTTATGAATGGCAATGTAAATATCTGATATGCAGGATGGTCTTAGGCGACCCCTGTGAAAGGGTCGTTCGACCGCCAAGGTCGCGACCCACAGGTTGAGAACCACTGCTCTACGGGATTTTGCTGCATTATCTCTTAAACTGCATGTAAGTCTACCATTATCTTAAAATAAAAATTTAAAAGTATGATTATTGTGACTATTTCAAAACTCTCCATTAGTGGGAGCAGCCATTTTTAAAAGTAGAGTAGAAGTATTTCTAAGGATGATCTTTTCTGTCTTACATGGAATGTTAAACAAAAAAATGCCAAGGTAAATTGTAGGCACAAGACACATTGCAGGGCATCCTAAGTGGCTCTTCTTTATTTTCTTTGGGAGTCCCGGGCACCACTAAGGGGCTCTTGCAATCCGTTAGAAATGTGTTTCGTTATTGAATGGGCACTTAGTTCACACTTCATTTTCGCACGGCACTTTTTAAGCATCCCTCAGCTGCCTTCTCTTGTGCTCCATCAGGACTTAGGAGCAGCATGACAGAGGCAAAACTATTTCCTATCTTTCTTTTACAATCAGACACAGATGTTTCTAGGGGCAGTTGGCGGAGTTTCCTGCTGGATAATGTGGTCTTTTCTGAGATGTGTAATGCCTGCAGGCTAACACCCTTCACACCA